TGAATTGAGAAGTCAGAGAACTCATCTATGGCCGCATGGACAGCTGGTCAGGGGAGCAAAAATACAGCCAGACTCCCTGACAAGGTGAGGCCTGCGCCTTCTACCATACCACCCTGCCTGGGTTGGGCTACCCCCCTCCCAGCCTCTTCTTTTGCAAGCAGGAGAAACTGAGCAAGCTGAGGATAGAGAGAAGGACTTTTCCAACCTGGCCTCGCCTTGGTCCACACCTGGCCCAGGACCCGCTCCCTCCTACTGCTCAGAGAGCTTCCACTGTCTCTTGCAATCTGAAAGTAAATGCTTCGGAACTTGACCCAGAGAAGAATGTCTTCAGGGAGAGTCTGATGAGCTTTCCAGCAGTGGTTTGAATGCCCTGGGAGTAAACTTTCTTAGGCCTCAGCAGAAAGCCCCTTTCAGAGGAAAATTGTATGTTTCTTTAAGCAATCCTTATATGCTAATATTTTTGGTTAACATCTCGAATATGCACTGACTTTTTCATGATGGGATTCACCTGAATTACTTCAAAAATTGTTCACTCATTCAGTAAATCCCAGACATGAGCTAGGCGTCAAGCTGGGTGCCAAGCAAGATGCTGGGGTTCGTGGGTGTGTGGCCTGGGAGTGGTTGTATCTCTCAAGGAGATGCTTGAGGGCTTAAAAACATAGTTTTGCTTTTTTCAGAAACAAACAAAAAAAGCTGTACATTACTCATAGGACAGTGTTTCTAAAACAAAGTGCAGGGCATCCATTAAAAACTAAGCAGAAAAAAAGAAGCAAGAAAAGGAAAATGAGCCTGGGTGCGCTGAAGCTGGCCTTTTGAGCTGGGTGAGGCTGGCAGGGCGCTAAGGCCACCCCATCTCCCAGGCTAGTGGCGGAAGGGGTCACCTGCCTGCCCACAGGTGGGAAGGAGCCCTTGCACGGGGACAGAGCGCCATCTAGTGCTGGAACAGCCTCAGCACAGGCCACCAACCGGGGGAGTAAAGGCACCCGCCTCCAGGGAAATCAGGTGCAAGGCCAAAAGCCAGAAAGGCTGGTTGGGTATCTTATGACACTCACCTTGTGGGGTGAGCGTTGTCCTCACCATTTTATCAGTGATGCTGTGGAGATTCAGAAAGGTGAAGTCCTCTGACCCAGCTCCCCTGAACTAGGGCAGGGATTTGAACTCGGTTCTTCTATCTGACTCCTGTCATTACCTGCACCCTGCTGACTTCCTAGCTTTGCTGCTGAAGAAGGGCCTGAACGGTTCAGGACCAGGCTTGAAGTTCTCAGGGGATGCCTCGGCCCCGGGTAGAGGATCCGGATGCCATGAGGTGACAGGGCTTGCGGGGCCCTGGCCACGGCCTGCCTGCGCCACCTGGGCCCCGGCGGCCCCCTGGAACAGAGCGAGGCTCCGGCTCCCCTGACCCGCTGGCCACCTTCCAAACATACTGTTCCATTGCTCACATCCGGGGCTTTCCCCCCGCCCCCTCCCCGTGCGGCACCCTCTGTGGGGAACTTTGCTGTTTTCTCTTTAGTTTCTAACATCCTTACTAAGCATCATCTCCCAAGAAGCCTTGCCACACCTGTCACAGTGCCAGGCCACCTGCCAGTTACCTGCCACCCCAGTAGACCTTCACTCTGGTCCCCGAGGCCTAGGACGGTGCCTGAGCCGCTGTGGAAGGCTGACAAGTGTCTTCCCGCAGAGGGCTGAACGTTTGGCTGCACAGCTGGATGGACAGATGTCCGTGAGATGGAAGCGCACTGCCCAGCCCATCAGGGTAGGGCACCCTAGCGAGGACACAAGTGTCCCGCCAGTGGCTGCATTCCCGACTGTGGACGTGCCACACCTTCTCACTATATGGTCAGTTCTAGATCACAACTCAGTTGTCCAGCAGAGTTTCTGGGACACGTGCTGGCCAGCCTGCAGTCTCCTAGAAGACTCTTCCAGAACTTGCCTGGTCTGTGGTCCAGAAAACGGCCAGCTAGCAGCCTGGACTGGGCTGCATCAACTCCCTCTGCTCCCAAGGTCCCAGATGAGCAGAAGGCAGAGCCGCTGTCTGCCTGGTGTAGGAGGAGCTTTCATAAGGAGACGGCCACTTTCTCAGAGGTCCCGGGCCAGGTCCCTGACCTTGGAGCCTGGGGCTGGCCTCCTGAGGCCACACTTCAAAGACACGGTTTGAAGAGTTCAGAGAGGGGACGTGGAGGAAGAAGAAGAAAGTGAAAATGTACTGTGAAATCTGGAGTGTTTACAAAAAGCTGTCATTATGAGGGGCCATGCTTTTTAGAAACAAAAGTAAATTAAAAAAAATAAAAATAAATTATAACAGCTGTAAAAAATATGTGTACTGCCTAAGAGAAAAAAAGAGATGCTTTATTTATTGAGTGCCTGTAGTATGCAGGCATTATTTATCTTCCTAATGACCAAGTGATGTAGACATTTTGGGCTCCATTTTACAAATGAGTAAACTGAAGCCCAATGTCATCCCTAGAATGTTCCTTCCCAATGTCTCCTCACTTTCACTGCTGTTGGATTTTATACCCCTGCGTTCTCAGGGCACTGGGAAAAAGATAGGGTCAGCAGCCCCAGATGGCCACCTTTCCAAAGCTCCCTGAGAGCTGGGCACGTAACCTGCTCCAAAACTAAGCCCAGCACAGCTGGCCCCCTTCGACCTACCCATGACCCATGAAACTCATTTCCTCCTTTTCTCCCATTATAAATATAAATGCATATATTTCACTGGGGGAAACATCAGATTGAGCATCCCAGAGGCTAAAATCATTTCTCTAACCCAGCATGACAGTGGCAGGAAAGCAGTGCTATTTACAGTTGGCTGCTGACTGCCCTGCCCCAGGCTCCAGCTGGAATCTAGAAGGTTCTTATTGGTAGCTGAGGTTTGTACAAACCATGAGAGCAAGAAAAGAGAAAAAGCAGGATAAATAAAGGGCAGGTATTTTAGTACTCTCTTACAACTGGCCTTTTCTTTTGTCAATAAGGGTCTTTATTTTTTTATTCCCCTCTGAGATTTTAAGGGCCTGGACCAGTGCTCATCCTGATATGCTCCGCCTGCTTATGTTGCACGGGTGCACATCCCAACCTTTGGACTCCCTGACCTCACCTATCTTGGCACCTAGGACTGACTCCTTTCTCTTCCTTTACTAGGTTTGCACACTTCCTGCTTGTCTCCATCAGGTTAAAACTTTTGGCTTTTGAATTCCAGGAAATGCAGGAGTCCACCTCTCAGACCTTCAGCCTGACTTCACTCTGACCCTTGTGCAATACATCCTGTCCTGGATCTTCCTTTGCCTCCCATGCCCTGGAGTGACAGAGGATGGAAAAGGGATATTTGGGCAGGAAAATGCCTCTGCCCCCTGGTCTCAGCACTCAGCTTTGGGGGCACTGGGAGGAATGGGAAAGGTCAGCATAGCGTGGGAGTGTCCCTAAGCTACTACAGTGATAGACTCATATGAGTCAGGGTAACACATGGGTGACATAGAAGGGCAGTTCAGATCATTGAGAAGCTAGAAGGGAGGCTCTATCAGACTTGATTAACTTCAATATAAATGGCATCTGCACCAAGCAAACCATTGCACTGCAGTCCAAGTGTCAGGAATGGGATAAGGGTATCACCTTCCCACCCCCCAAAAATCTTCCAAATTGCCTTCATGGGACCGAAGCAATAGCTATTTGATTCAAACAAATATTTACAATCGCAGAATCTAAAGACAATGATACTGACAAATAAATAGACATAAAGATCTTGGCTATAACACATAATCATCATTTTAAAGTCCGCAATACTTCATGTACCTGGAACTTTATGGAAAACCATTTTACATTTTGTCATTTGGAATCAATAAAGTTTTTTCTAAGTAAAATACTTTTCTACTTCCTTATGCCATGCTTAGAAAGCTTTTGCTCCTTCTACAGTGCCCGTTTATTGGACTATCAGGTTCCCTTTTGTTCTGTCTATGGACATCTTTTTATCCTATCATTCAGATTCCTCCTTTAGTCTTTTATTCACTTGGAAACCCGACAGTCGTGTTTATTAGAACAGCTTGGAAATCAAGAATAAACAGAATTTTAACAAATGGCTCTGAGTTGTGAACCTATGAGTAGAATGTAGGGTTTGGGGAAGTGGCCTTTATTCTGGTTTTCTTCCAGATTCTGGGTTGGGGAGCGATGCTGTGAAAGCAAGGCAGCATGGTAGTTCAAAAAAATCAGAGATACCAACCACTACTGATATAGCATGGATTTGTTGTTCTTTAAAGTAGGCACACAGAGGCTTTGGTGACTGATTTTAAATGCATCTGACAGTCCATAGGTCAAGTAAACAGATGGGTCCCTGTTACATGCAGGAGCTCTTGGAGAAATCAGGTGTTAAATCCATTGGTTCCTGCCCCAATTTCGACCATCTGGAGATATTGTAGCAGAAAACCATCCAGTGATCTCAAATGCCAGAGTCAGCTCAACCCACCTAGACTCTGCCTATCCTCTCATTTTCTGTGTTCTTGAAAGTTCAGTGTAGCTCCACTCCACCTCCACACAGTTGAAATTTAGCCTATGCCTACACCAATTTCTAGATGCTGGTTCAGTTGTTTAAGGACATATTAGTCCCTCTTCAGATCTTGAAACCTAGACTGTTACCCTAAATGGGATAACATTTGGCTAAGGTCATTTAAATTGGACAGCCATGGAAGTGATATTGTTGAAAGTTGTGGCACCAACTCTGGAGTCAGATTGCTTAGGCCACATCAGGTAACATATCTGCTTGTGGAAAGGTTGCAGCCTGAGAATGACAGTTGGTCTTTACAAGTCCAAGACAATCTTTGCTAACTCCTTTCCCTATTTGCACACTTCCTATCCAAAGGGATATCTTCAGAAAAGTAATCTTCCCAGCGGAGAAGATGATGACTGGAGATGTGGTCCTGAAGAACAGTAACTGGGTTGAGTGTGGATTGGTCTCAGCCAAAAGCTACCTTTGAGGCATATGCAGAGTCTTCATTGAAAGCAGACAGGGCTCCTTCTCAGGAGTACAGAGTCATCATCAGCCACTGGACATAATGGGGAAGCAAATTATGGTCAGTTCAGGCCCACTTCTGACATTCAGCTAAGGGTGCTTTATTTTTCAGTCACCAGACCTGGGAGCCTGACAGAGGACTTGGGACCTCCTCCCCCTTATTCTTGGGAAGCCATGGAGACAGAACAGTAATGGATGGTTTAGCCAGAGGGACCACACCATCTGGTAGTAAGTATAAATCAACCTGAAATATAATCAACATTGACTCCTAATGGTGCCAGTGAATGATGATACCCAAGATACAGGCTGATTCTGTATTCAATTCTCAGTGCAATTTTCTGCCATGAATTCAATTTGGCACGCTCATGACAGTGGTGTGCAGGTGTGTGGACCAACTGGGTAGCAGAAATCCATTAGAGCATATTCTACATGTTAACATTTATGGGCCTATTTGTCTGACAGCTTTATGTGGGTGTGATGAACAATTCCCCCCAACTCACATAGAGGAGACCTCTAGAGAAAACACTCCCCAGGCCAATTATATCATAATGCTGCTGATGGTGATGACGGTGATGAAGATGACAATGGTGGAGTTACTAATGGTGTCAGAGAAAACCAGCATGAAATTCCAACAAGTTGGCTGTCACTCCCTATAGACCTCCTTGGATGGCCCTGAGGATCTCCTTCTCGTGGAGCCAGAGATGATCAGAACTGAAGAGGATCTTAATGACCACCTAGCTCCCAGCCCACTCACATGTGGGGACACTGAGGCCCAGACATATTGAAGTTGATTTGCCTAGGGTCCTACAGCTAGTTACAAGCAGTGCTGTGGCTTCAGCCAGGGTCTCAGTGCAGTTCTCGTCCCATGATGGCACATTGCACTGCTGGAGCCTGCTCAGGCTGTGGGCTGCCTTGTTTCAATTGCACGTTCATGTTGTCCTGCTCTCCCAGCTCTGAGCCTGCAGTAGATCAGGACAGAAGCTTGGGGATTTGAAATGGAGGTGGAATCAGAAGATTCTAACCATTGCCCCTCCAGCTGAATCCCACCTTTACATTCAAATATGACTGTGATTGAGGTGAGACACATGCTGAGGGTCCCAGTATCTTGGAAAGATAGTACATAAAATGGACATTTGAGATCAAGGAAGAAACCTTACCTGTTATGAGGCCCTTCTAAAACAGCCCAAAGAGAGGATGTGTTTTTACAAAGAAATAGCAGATGATTTAACTCCAAACTCTAATGTCTTTGAAGTAAGCACTACCTAGTGCCATATCTGACACATAGTAGGTGCTTAGTAAACCCATGTGGTTTGAATGATCAGGGAAGACCATCAGTGTCAGGCACGGATTTGTCTTGTCAGCACATCACCTCATTCACTCAACAAACATTTGTCAGGCTCCTACTACATGCAAAGCACCGTACGAAGTTTAAGAGGCTACCCAGACAAGCTCAGAATCCCGGCCCATAAGGGAAAGGCTAAGCCAGCTCCTGAGATAGATCTGATCCTGATCTTTTCAGACTCCATGTAAACCAGTTTTTTCATCCTTTCTACTCTAGCCAGGACCACACATACTGTTCCCTCTAGCCTGAGCCTTTCCTATTCTCCACTCTGCCTCCCTGGCTCCTTTTGATCCTCAAGCTTTCAACTTTGATGTCACCTCCTCCAGAAAGGCCTCTGTGAAATGCTCCACTATTATCATCTGTGCTAGAGTTCATTGCTGGCCTGGGTTCTTCGCCCTCTCTGTGACCATGCCCTCTGCAAGTTACTTTGATGTGCCTCTCATGACAGAAGCCAAGGTTATTTCCCCAAGTGTTGGAAGTGGGCTCAGCCATGTGACTTGCTGTAGACAACAGAATGAGTTCTAGGACACAATGTGCCTGATCTCGGAGACCCTGCATGTATAAGCTCGCTCCCCTGCATGTCTGTCATTGTCCCGAGGCAGTGAGACCAGCCTGACCAGAGCTTCCAATGAAAGTACCCCAGCAAAGACCCCCTGTCCACCCACCAATCACAAACCAGCCAGCTGAAGCCCTCTGACTCCCAGACATGTAACTGGGGAACTCAGTGAGTGATGAAGTTGGATGGACTTGTCCCATGGCATCATTCTGCTCATAGTCATTGGGTCCACTGAGTCAATGTCTAGGCCCCTTGCACATGTGCCCAGCACAGAGTGTGAGCTCAGTAAAGAGTGGATGAATGAATAGATGGGTGCAATGAATGCAGGACTACATCCTCAACTCAGTAGAATGAAAACCCCAGAACCCTGCTCCTTCACAAGAGCCTGACCTGCCGTGGCCACCTCTGCCTAAGATGATGTGAGTCCACCCCAAGGAGAAAGGCTTACCTCTGGCTTCTGAAGGTATATACCTTTGCCATCTTGGGTTAAGTTCTGGAAGGCATCTGTGAAAACACAGGAGAAAGGAACACAGTTAATGTGTGTGGAGATATTACGAACTGGTTTCTCCCATCTGTCCCCTCACCTGGGAACTCAGTTTCAGCCTATGTGCAGCCACATGTGGCACACCTACAAGGGTAAATGAGCTGCCTCAGACCTTTGCCTTTGGGACAGCTGTGGCATACATGAGTTTGGGGCAATGCAGGTTTCTCAGACACAGAGCCAGGGGACCTCATAGCTCCTGGCCTGGTGTTTCTGCGCTGGCAGCTATCCTCCCTCCTGCTTGAAGTGGGGATGGGTGGGCAATCCACGAGGAGTGAAGAGGAAGTCTTGGCCCTTACTTCTTCCCACTAGCTCACCTTCCATGTTCTCTGCACGCAGCATCAAGTGGACGAAGCTGACAAAGTCTATCTGGAGGTTGGGGCCACCGTAGCGGATCAGCATCAGCTGGCAGACGTCATCACTGAGCATGATTCCTGCATCAAGCACAGACTCGCCATGGGTGCTGGGGACCTCATGCCCCCCTCCCCCTTCTGAGGCCCCTTCAATTGTCTCTCCCCTTCCAGGACCTGAATCCTGAGAACATGGAGGTTTTCTTTTGTGTGGTTCATTATTAATTGTTTAATTGTTTAGTCCATTAACTTTATCTCCATCTTGACTTCCCATTCCTGCCCCCTTGGACCACCAGGATGAGGATCTTTTTATCAAGTGGGATTCTGGCCTTCAAGGCAGGAGGTAGTCTGCCCAAGAGTGGTCAAGAACATCCGCTTTGGGGCCTGATAGTCCCAGGTTCAAGCTTCAGACAAGTTACCTAACCTCCCTGAGCTTTGACTTCTTCCTCTGTAAAGTCGGGATTATCACACGTCATGGATGATTAAATGAGAGCGTGGATGCCCCAACCCTCATTAATGTTAGCTGTGACCATAGTGATAGGGATAATAAAAGTTTCCATTATTTGCAGATCCACATCTTTGGGCCTCTGGACTCCAAAGCAACTTTGAGCATTAGGATTACTTCAGAAGTCGCACACCGCCTCCCCTACCACCCTGGCGAGCGTGTGCCCTGAGGCACCTGCTCAGCCTGCACCTACCTGCATCCCTCATGGCAGCCTGCAACTGGGTCCTGTTCAGATACCCCGACTGGTTATGGTCGTGCTTGTGGAAAACCTCCTGTGAAGAGCCCACACCAAAGGCTCATTTCCAAGCACTGCCTGAGAGCCCACCATGCTCCAACATCCATGCTGCAGCAGACCAGTGGCTAGCATGAGACTCCACCAGCAGGGCCTGCTGCCCAGGTCAAGAACAGGCAGGGGGGCTGGGATCCCGAGGAATCGAGTAGTTTTTTATCATGTGAATGGACAGTCTGGGTATAGCTAAATGTTCTTGACTTAGGCACATTCTCCAAACCTTGAAGGGCTTCCAACTTTCGGACCCAGGAGACAAGGGGGATAGTAGTGAGTAATAACTGGAAAAATAGGAAGAAGCCAAATGATGCAGGACTTTCAGTGCCATGCGAAGTTTAGACTTTATCTGAAGACCATGGGGAGTCTCAGGAAGCTTTCAGTAAGGAAGCAATATGATCAGACGTGCATTTTAGAAATTCAGGAAACTGTTGCAATGGGCTCTCTGAGTTTAGGAGAGAGAGAGAGAGAGAGAGAGAGTAGGGGGGCCCACTGAAGGAGGGTAGAGCAGACTGGGTGAACACCGGGGTACACAGGGCTGAAAGGGGAGTGGTACCTAATGCAGCTTCACAGAACTACCATCTCTGCTCCTGCCCTAGGAGGTGTGGGTAAGGCTTGTTCTTACCTGACAGAGCATAAGCTGCTTCCACAGGTCCCTGAACTCCTGGATGCTCACAGTACCAGACGCATTAAGCTGATAGAGTGTTAAGGTCAAAGCCACTGGGGAGTTGCATTCCCATACTAGTTGGGTCTAGTACCAAGTCACATGCTTTACTTACGTTACTTCATTTTTACCTCATAGGTGAGGTAGGTATTTACTCCCCCCCACCCCCTGTAATGGATGATAAAATGGGGCCTGTATGATTCTGTTGAAATTCATCCTGCCAGTAATAAGATTGGGAATTCCTCCAATGCCTGCACACCTGACCACCACCCCACACTGTCCTCTGCAACGTTTCTGCAAAGACCGCTTTTATATTTACAACCCGCCCCCCCCAACTATCCATTCTTTGTGTCTCTCTAGATGCATAATTAAACTGTGATTAAATCATCCACTTAGAAAGGCAGAACGTTTGCTAGAAACCTCACAAGACTGAGAGCCAGGAAAGCATAGTCTGTAGCATGCCACTGAACTCCCTGAACTCTGATCTCCTGATCTGTAGATGGGAACAGCCACTGCCCCATCACCAAATGGAAACCTCGGAACCCCAAGCCTCCTGTAGCAGCTTCTTGTTACCCAGAGAATTGCCCCCAACCACCACCCCACAGCCGCCTCATCCTCACTGTCAGCAAATAAAGATTCTTGCTATTCATAGTTAATATTGAAGACTTCTTCGATGACAGCACTAAGCACTTTGCACGTGTTACCCTATTTGTATTCTCACACAGATACTACAGAGTAGCTTCTATTTTTATTTTTTAAAGATTTTATTTATTTATTCATGAGACACACACACAGAGAGAGAGAGAGAGAGAGAGAGAGAGAGAGAGAGAGGGGCAGAGACACAGGCAGAGGGAGAAGCAGGCTCCATGCAGGGAGCCCGACGTGGGACTTGATCCCAGGTCTCCAGGATCACGCCCTGGGCCAAAGGCAGCACTAAACCGCTGAGCCACCTGGGCTGCCCCAGAGTAGCTTTTAATAGCATCTCCATGCTGCACACGAAGGCCCGAAGGCACAGTGAGACTACCCGACTTGCCTGAGATCACACAACTAGGAAGCACTAGGGTTGGAACTCAAACCAGGCAGCCTGGCTCAGACTGAAGCTCTCCACCAGCAGCAGGGGCATCCTGCCACAAACCTGAAAAGATACGTCCAGCAGGGCCAGGATTCCCTGGCAGGCATCCAGGCTGAAGCGAGGTTGGGCACTCCCCAGACCTGCAGGGAGATAGACAGAGTGTGCATGGGGGGCTGGCCCTAGGATGGCACAGCCTTTTTTTGAATAGGAAAAGGCCGTGCTGTTTAGGCCACCTGTAGGTTCTAAAGACCATCATATATGGAGGGTAGCAGAGAATAAGAACAAGAGGGCAGTGGAGAGAGAGAAGGCTCAGTGGTGGTTCCTATACTCAAGGAACACTGTAAAACCCTGCAGAGTCCCCCCAGTTACAGCCTGCCTCTGCTTCTGCGGGGGTCAGATGAGCATGGCCCTGTGTTCCTAGGACATAGGAATGTCACAGAGGCATGGACTACAAATCTGAAAGAGATCTAAGAGATCAATTTATTCAAGTTCCACCTGAATTGGAGGATCCTATCCTCAGATGTTTGGTGGAAGGTCTCTCAGTTTTGGGTGTTCGCTTTTTCACATGGATGGATAGCTCCAGTCAGGAACAATTTATGTTAACTGCAAAATTTGCAAAATTCAGTCCCTAGTCCCTAGTCCTAGCTCTGCCTCCAAAAAGCCTAAACAGGCATATGTCTGCTCTTCGACGTCTCCCTTCCATTCTAAATGTGGCTTCTAAACAGTCTTCGCCTCCTTCTAGGCCCTATGCTTTGCCATGTTCTCTCTAAATGTGGTACCAAGACCAGAATGGACTCCTTCAGATGCAGTTTCATGAAGCTGAGTACGACGGGGCTGCGACTTCCCCAAATTTCCAGCAGTATTTCCCAAATTACATTCCAATGATGACGTTCTGTAGAGAAAGTGTTTTGAGTTCAAACATACTTGAAATATTGTATATTTATAGAACCTTTTCTCCATTTACCATGCATCTTAGCATATAGTAGGTACTGAGGAGCCAACATTGAAATTTTGTTTTTGTTTAATGCAGAATTTCCCAAGTGCAATTGACCACAGAATCTAACCCCTTTTATTTCATGGAACACTTCCTAATACTACGTCTGATACTTCTCGGAATGTAGTTTCAAAAATACAAATCTAAATGTTTCCATTAAATATAGCCTGAATTTAGATTAGCTTATTTAGCAGCAACTTGAAACTGTGAGCTTGTGTTAAGCTCCAGGTCAACTAAATTAACCAGATATCTTTCACATAAACTGCCACAAAAATGAGATCTCTTCTGCAAGGAACTTACGCAATCAGTTTTTAAAAAACAATGAAATGGCAGTTTTTAATTATCATTCTGACTTTATTTCATCTTTTTGGTTTGGGCACAGCTTGTTGTGAGCGTTCTGAATTTCAATTCTGCTGTCTATTTTATTAATGATTCCTTCCAGCTTTGTGCCATCTGCAGATCTGATAAGTCTACCTCCCATATCTTCTTCTGAGTCATTGATAAAAGCTGAGAAAGTAAAGGGGACCAAGGGGAGAGACCAGGGCCTCTCATCATACTGATAGACTCTCATCCATGACATAGAATTATCCCTCTGGTTTTATATTTATATAACTCTTGGGAATGGTAATCAGACTTGTGAATACATCTCATATTGCTACTTTCCAACCCATATGCCATCATTTACCATCAGATACTTTATCAAGTATTTTGCCCAAAACCACAGTAGTTCTCTGATCCGTCAATCCAAAAATTCTCTCATTGGACCAAATGAAAGCGATTTGTCCACACATTCTTTGGAATGCCATTTTGCATACTTGTGATCAAAACCGTTTACAAACTGTAAATGTGCTCGAGCTATCCCTTCTAGATGATTTCCCTCGAATTCATTTTCTAGGGTGTGGGGGGAATTCTTAGATTCCATAATTTCTAGAATCTCTCCTTTTGGCTCTTTTATGATACCCGAACATGACTTTGAGGAACCATCTGGAAATTATTTCAAGCCTTGAGTTATACAATACCCTGGACTATAATTTGTTTGTGTTTGAAGTGTTGGCTTCACACAAAGGAGAAGCAATCACATATCTTAGGTGTCAAAGACCCTCTAATCGTTTGGTTTACTTTCTTCATTTTGAAATTCATTCTCCTCCTTGGAGAAATCATGTCCTTCCCACTTGAGATATACATATAAAATTTTTTCCACAGACTTTGAGCTCTCCTAATAATTTATCTCAGGCTTAATATGAAGGTATCCACGTTAGCCATTTGTAGCTTTCTCAGGGGATGTGCTCCCCTCTTTCAAATTTGTGTAGGTTGGTCAATTTAGATACAAGTTCATTAGAAAGCTCCTAGTGGGCTAGTCAATACATATATTGTATATAAATACATTTATATGCCAGGCTGGGTACAATTCTTCCACATGAAATTTATATGCCAAGAAAGAAGTACTTGGATATTCTTCTCAAACTAGCAAAATATTAGAAATCCTTATTTTCATAGTCCTGTATCTCTACACACCCAAACTAAGCAAAGCAAAGGAAATAAAACAAAACCCAAAAAACAAACACCAAAACAAAACAAAACAAAAAACAAAAAACAACACCTATTTCCCAAGCTGTATAAACTTCTCTACTACTTCCTCAGACCACAAGATCCACCCTGGTGCAATACACAGCCCCTGAGGGGACCCTCACGCAACAATTCACAAGGGAAAGAGAGCAGACCCAGAGTTCAAAAAAGCTATGTCCCCAGAGTCCTATAAGATAACTCTAAAATACTCACTTGACCAGGTCATGTGGTTCAGGATCTTCTGCAGCTGCATTGCATTTATTTCTGGATACTGACGTGGGAGCAGAGTGGCAGGAGAAAATTATCATTACCAAAGGCTCATTAGATGCAGAGGGGCTGCGGGAGAAGAGGGCTAGGGAGTCATTCCTATACCTGCTCAGCACGCTACTTATGCTACTTCTGGGCAGAGTAAGTAACCCTGGGTGTCAAGTCCAGAGAACCCCAGTGGGGCAAGACTCGTAGGAAGCAGTCTAATAATGATGTTTTTCAAATTGTGTTTTATCAAGATGCTTTAGGACCTCAGCAAACAATTTGGTTTGAATTTTATTCTTAATATGCTATCTTCAGCCAAGCCTCCAAATTTTAATTTTAGAGTTTATCAGAAGCAACCCTTTATATTAACATTTAACTTTAAAAAAAACATAAATGAAATGTCAGTATCATCAGTGTGAGCTTATAAAACAGTTACACGTTCGTAATACATCATTTTAATCTGTTTTATATGTATTAGAGTGATTCTCAGTGAGATTCCATTTGATGAAAGGACTATAACAGAAAATGTTTGGAAACCCCTGGTATGGAGAAAAACTTTTTATGAACAGCACATGTAAGACTCTGACTATCCTCTCTGGCTACAGTAGGCAAAATGCCAAGAGCGAATATGAGAGAAGATCGGGAGCTGGGGGGGGAAGGGCAGGCATGTTGTGAATTAAATCTAGTGTTTACTAACACAAGGAGCTCATGCTCTTCCAGTTTTGATGACATCACTAAGCTGTTAGACCCCAGATTTCTAGCGTACTTCTTGTCCTATTCATCAGCGGATTTAGCGCCCTGCAGATTAGGGACAGAGTGGCTTCCAGAGTCCTGCACTCATGCCACTGGCCTCCTGATCTGGGTCAGCGCAAGGAAAGACCTCAAGGGGACAGGTGTGCAGCCCCAGACCCTCCTCCTCCCTAATGCCCTCTTACCAGCCCTATCTCTTCTCTAGGAGACCACCCAAGGGGTCTTTCTCCTTGGACTCCCCAAGATCCCTAGGGCTCGTCATTACCATGCTCTTGCCACTGCCAACACTGCTTCCTAACTCTATAGTCCATTTTCTCAGGGATTAAAGATCAAAGCTGCTTCTCCTACAACTAATCAATGTCACTTCCAAGATCAGATACTCATTTTGCAGGAGTTTTCCGGAGAAGATCCACTTCTACTTACTTGTCTAAAAACTTGAGGACTTGAATAGAAAGTGGCAGTTTGGGGAACAGTAGTCTCACGTCACACTTTGTACCCAGGGGCAGGCAGAGACAAACACATCCCCCGTGGGATTTTATGCTCCACTCTGGCCCCTGCTTTGCCCCCTGCTCACCACGACACCTGGCCAACTTACCTTCTCAAAGAGTTTCGTGAAGAATTCATCGTGCCCTGCATTTTGGTCCACTATTTCCTAGAGAAACAGACACATGGCAAGACTTTGTCATTCACCTGGATAACTGGACGCTCATGCACACAGGCCCCAGAAATCCATAAGTTGGACCTTGAGCATGCTCTTAAGTTTTCTACCACGGCATTCACACATCCTTTGCTTCTCCAGTTCTCACTGCTTTTGGGGAAGTAGCAAAAACAGTGAAACAGTGAAAACAAAAAAACAGGTGTTTCTTTTAAGGTAGAAAGGAACAGAAGCGAGTCAATGTATAACTCATGTACCTAGAGTCTGGACCCTCCATGCCCTCCATGACCCAGAAAGGCAGTTCTCCTGGTGCAAAAGGAGCAGAACCCAGGCTCTTAGGGCACGTAGATAACGTAGTATGGGTGCCATAGAGTGGGGTTCTCAGGATCTGCGGACTTCTTCCCCCAACATGTGAATGTGAAGGGAGAAGCCCACCACCCAGGCTTTGGAAACAGTCCCAGCACATGCACTCCCACCTGCCTACATACCTTAGAGAAGACAGCACTGGTGTGGCAGCCAATTTCACTGAGGGAAAACAAAAGGCAGGATTACTTCTTGGGAGCATTTTGGCCAAAATTCTCCCTTCCTGGGGAACGTATCTTCCCAGTTCCCTAGCTGATGTGCCATGTGGGCTTGCCCAGCTCTCACACCCTCCCCCCTACTTCTCCTTGGAATCGACAATCCAGCCACATGGCCCAGCACAAGTGGATCCCCCACATGTCCCAGTGCTGTTGCCCATATTGATGCCTTTGCTCACACTAAGCCCTGTGCCGGGCCCACCGTTTACCATCCCCACCCACACCGAACTACTCCTACTCATATATATGACTCAGCACTGACAGGCAGTGAGGCTTGAGGTCGAGTCAAACTACGTGGAGCCAAACCATGAAATAAAAAAGAAAGAGAACTGGATTCTAAGCGTCGAAGGACTGTTGTGTCAAAACAATCATAGGCAGAAGAAGTTGGGCTGGGACATGTGTCTCTTGATTCCCTTGCACACACTTTTGGCATCTGAGCCTGCTCATTGATGACAGCCTCCCCTCATGTGCATCTCCTAGAAGTGAACACCTCCTCAAAGCCACTCCTGTTCCCCCCAGGACCATGAGAGGTTGGCTCAGATGCTCCTCCTTGTTCTGCTAACCCTCTGTGTAGATAAATGCTTGCACTCGACACAGTGTAGCATAAACCACTGCTCATACATCCCTGTCCTTTCTAAGCCTCAAGCTTCTGGAGGGTAGGGGCCAGGCTTGTTCTAGCTTTTTCTCTTGATTGCCTAGCAGGTTGTTTATTTCTTAGTAGAGTGTGGAGGGAAAGGAGAAGGATGCTCTCCATGCAAGAGCTCCCCGCTCTCCTTACCCCTCTCCTGTGTTGGCCACAGAGACCCCATCCTCTGCCATTTCCACCTCCTCCGCCGTACCTCCCCTGGCCCGAGTGGACCCCAACCTCCAGGGGAATCCCGTGCCCTTACTGAAAGATGTGCTTCCTGGAGAAGACTCTCAGGACAAACTCTGACTCCTGGCCAGCCTCAGAGGTGCAGGGCACAATGAGGTATGTCCCTGGCTCCAGATGCAGCTCCCGACTCACTTCTTTCTCTGTGAGAAATGCTTCAGGCCAACTTACGGGGGCATTCTTCCAGAAGAACTCAGGAGGCAGTCTCTTCTGGTCACCATAGTACTGTGGGTGGAGGACGGAAGAGCCCTAGTTAAAATTGCTGCATACAGATAAATTGGGCATCCTGCATCATCTCAGTGAAGGGAAAGGGAATTGGACAAAAATCTCAGAAGATCTGAGTCAGGCTCTGGCTCTGACATTGCCTGGGCATGTATTTTTTGTTTTATCTCATATTCTCTCTCTCTTTTATTTTCTTTGTCTCTCTTCTTTCTCCCTTCTTTATTCCCCTCTCTTTCCTTCTTGCTGCCTCTCCTCTTTGCTCTCCCTCAAGGATTGTGGAGGGAGAGGAGGACCATGTACTGGATCTTCACTCCAGTTAATGTACAGATAACAAAGACATTACTCATTCACATAAAAATATTTATATCATAGGCTCCACTCAAGACTAAGGAAACAACATGTATCTTCTGACGACGCATGTTTTCTTTTATCAGACAGTGAGAACTAGAGAACCATCTTATTGCCATCTTTGCCCTGGCTACTAGGAATCTCGGAACTAAATTTTATAATTAGCCATATTAGCTGTCCTACGTTTAGTGTTCCTGGTAGACTCAACTGCTTACCTTATCCAAATGTGACTTTTTTCTTGCCTTTTATATTTTTAACTGGCTTATAGCTTTGTTCTGTTTACAATTTTACTGTGGGCTGACCCAAATTCTATTTAGAAACATGCATGATATAAATAACTTAAAAAATTTATAGGCTACTTTAGGCGCCCTCAGTGTTTCTACAGGAGGAAAAAAACCAAAACTGACCCAAGATACCCAATGCAGAAATGGTTTCTTTTACAAAAACCCTTTTACTCTATTCAGTCTAATCTGAGAAAACGAAGTTTTCCACTCTTGTTTACGATGGGAAACAAAGTAATAGCTGCCACCTTGCAGAGGCTGAGTTATCTCTAAGCTTCTCAAGTGCTCCCTCTAGGCTGCCACTGCACATGAGATCCACACTTATTCTTGTCCTCTGCTTGTTTCTGTCCCATATTCCCAGTCTTTGTCCCTTGTCCCCAAGGAGGCAGGCTGCATGGTCTCCTCATGTCTCCTATGCTACAAATCTGTCTTATTATGGGCTTCACATCTCAGGCAAGATAGTGATTTACTGTTCTTCCTATGCTGTGATGGTCTTCAATATCACCACTAGGTATTTAATCAATTTAAATGCAGGGATTTAATGCAGGGATTTAATCAATTCTGGAATGTATTGGTTCTACACCAGGCTCAGAGACCTCCCTGTAGAGGCAGAAGGATTTCTCAACGTCCTTAGGTAAAAAGAATGACAGGTGCTCATCACTTCAGCACTGTTGCCAGACGTCCCCACAGCCCCTTACATAAGGCTGCTACGGTCAAGCTGACATCACTCCAAACCAGGGCCAGCTGCTCAAGTGTGACACTTACTTTGCTCAACTGAAAAACAGAAAAAAAAAGAAGCATCATTGGGTAGGGAAGGCAACTCTTCCAGAAGCACAAACTAACAGAGGCCCACCCAGGGGCCCCCTTCTCTCCCATAAGACTTGCTGTTCTAGTCAGTGACATTTTCATCCATCATCAGGAATTCTGGAAAAGGGTGAGGGAAGGCAACTTTGACTTTTTGGAAGAGGGAAAGAACACAGGTATTGATTGTACAAACTGTGTGCCAGGCACAAAGAGAAGCATTGGTACACAATGTTTTTCTAATCTACCCTTTGCATAAATATCAGTGTCCCCACTTTACAGAAGAAGCTGATGCTCAAGTGTTAACAGGAGACATGCTCTAGATCGCATATTCCTAAGAGACAGAGCCATGGTCTGCACCCAGGTCCATGTGTAGACAGAGGCAGATGGTGAAGAAGACAGGGAACAGGAAGGAAGGATGACCAGGGCTAGGAGATGCCCTATGAGGCCATGGGCCGTAGAGGCCCACTTACTCGAAAGAGGTAGAAGCCGATGGCAAGGAGAGGCTTGCAGTTGCGATGCCTATGCCTGGGCTTCTGGAGCAGGGACACCAGCACGTTGCAGGACATCAGGAACCTCGTGCTCTCCTGAGGGTTCCAGACAGACAGCAGAAACTGCGGGTTCTTCCAGAATGTGTCTGGAGCAGAGCACAGTAAGGTGAGCCAGGCCCCTGCCTCCCCTAACATTGCACCTGCCCAGGGATTCCCACCCAGAGGTCCATCTGCACAGAGTGGGGTCTTCAGCCTCTCTGTATCCCCCTCCCACCCCACCTCTTCCACCCCAAGCTCTATGCTCTATAGACACACAGACCAAGAGTTATTCTCATGACTATAGCCTCTTTGCGTAGCACAGTTCCTCTCATAGACTTTGTGACCCATAAACATTGACTGCCTGAGGAAGCGACTATATTAACTATCTGAGGAGAACAGGTCTATGATCCCAGGCAGATTTGCATTTGCACAGAGACAAAGCCTTAGCTTAAGGGCAGCTTCAGCTTTTGGGGGGACCTCTGTTGCAAGAGGGAGAAGCCAGAGCCCAGGGCACCTGGCCCACTGGGATCATACCCCATGGATCTTTCCTTCCAAAGAGATGGCTCAGCATCTCCCTTGTGGAGAAAGGGACACAGTGACCAAATCTCTCTCCTTTGAGAACTCAGACATGTTTGTTTCCTGTAACTGGTGAGCTGGGAATCCTTGATTTTGTTTCACCACCAACCTCCAGGGAAGGAGGGGCTGATACATATGATAAAATTACTATTTTGATCCTACCTTAAAGGGGTGGTTATTTCAGCAAAGAGATGGCTTTGTCCTAAAACCAAAGATTGAACCCACCCTTCTATGATCCATGAGTGCTAGTGGCCTCTCGGCGCTGAGTAGGACACAACCCAGGGCCCGAGCATGCAGCTAAGTCAGCAAAGTCCCTGAAGCCTCAGCCAGATGCCCTGGGCAGGGCGCAGGCCCCACCACTCTCCACAGTGGCTCTGCCTGCATCTTCACCCTTGCCTGGCAAACCTGCCACTGAAACCCCAAGAGCCCCAGCTCCTGTGCACATGGTTACCTCGGGGCAACTTCATCTGGCCACCAGCTGTGCTTCCCTTCTTCCATTTCCCCTCCCGCGTGGTACATGCCCACTTCTGGCCCACCTCCTGACTCAGCAGGCCTGGGGTCAGCTTACAGATAACCAGAAGCATGAAATGTGCTTGAAAGTCCTTCAGTGTCATCCTGTGGAGACGAAGGGGGATAACAGTATGATGTCTACTCATCAGGACCAAAGCAGGGGCTGGAACCAAGCAGCCCTAGCAGCCCCAGCCCCATGATCTCACCCTTCTGTACAGCTGAGCTGGCCTTGGACATAGAAGAGCAGAGCTGGCTAGGTCAGTGTGAGGATGCAGCGGGAGAGGTGAGCCATCAAGAAACCACCCTCCAGCCCCAGCCTATAGCTGGAAGCAGCCTCCTGCAACATGTGAGTGGGAGGAAATGTTCTTGTTTCGCTGATCACAGTGATAAAGCTGAACTGAGACGTTCATAGCTAGCCAATTGAGATATAAATGTTCAATAATAATTGCGTAAGTCAGTTCTCAACTGTTAATTGATAAAAATCTTAGTCCCCTACTCACTAACTTTGTGACCCAAGGCATGCTATCTGAACTGGCTGATGCTCAGTTTGCTTATCTGTAAAGTGGAAATTAATAGTATTTCAGGGCTCTTGAGTTCAGTGACCACTTCCAAGGAGAAAGGGGTCACAGTAGTCTAGAAAGAGTACAAAATGGGGGAAGGGAGGCCCATGGGAACAAGGGTGGAAGTTAATAGTAAGAGCAAAAAGTGAAGGGAAAGGGGAGCAGATGGGGCTTGCATAAGACCCAGAAACAGCATCAGCTCAGTGCATCTTTGGGCTTTTCATAAAAGGGGATAAGTGACTTTGGGGGGTGGGAGTCATGCCATGATGCTCTAAGGTAGCTTATAGTTTATAGTACATTCTTTCCTCATCTCCTTTGTAGGACAGGAAAGACAAACCCTTGGGATTGAGTGTACTGGGTGATACAAGAGACAGAACAGAAGTCATAGAGAAGGAGGTGGCCACCCTGGCTTTTGCTTTGAGTGTCCACTGAGCACCATGCCAGCTGTCACTACTCTCATCATAGAGACTGTGACTGTTTGCAGGGGCTGTGAGCCCCTATCAGGTCTTCTTGATCTCTGCACAAGAGGTGTCTGATATATGTGGGGCCAGTAAATATTTGTAGGCTAGGTGTCCAAATGTAAGCCAGGGCATTTGTCCCAAATCCCCAAGTCAAATACCAGAATTCTCCATCATCACTTTTTCTCAGCAGTAGAATCTTCTCCTTGGGGCTCAGTAGCTCCCATGTACTTGAGCTGAAAACAGAAAAGGGTGCTTCTGTAGGGAATGAAGGATCATGGAAGACATGGGAGATATACTCCAGTAAATGCTCGATAGTATATTATTTATCTCATCTTCATGCTGCTTGGCAGACTAATAATATCACATCATGTCTTCTAAAAATAACATATCACATTAACCCAAGCTCTGGGCCAGGCCCCTCACATACTTTATCTCATGTAAGGCTAACAAGTTTACAAGGTAGGAATTTCTATTGCCATTTTAGAGATTGGGAAATAGAAGTTAAAAGAGATTAAGTCACTTTCCCAAAGTCACAAGGTTATGAAATGTCTGAGCACATTTGAACCTACATCGGTACTACGTATTTTCAGAGCTCATCATTTTGAACTTCTGTGTTTGACCATGAAGGAGTAAGGCTTTCCTACATTACTTCCCCACCGTAAATAACTAAAAATGGGACAAAATATTTTTTTAAAACCACTGTTTTCAGACGTTTGACAGCAGATAGCACAGGGTTATGACCCTAAGAGTGGGAGAAAGAAATGAGGTGAGCCCTAATGTCGCTCAGACTCCAGCCCAAAACTAAGTCCCTGGAGGGTGTGACACGGGAATCACATTCTGATCTGGACAGAATGCCCAGGGGTCACAACATGGAGCCAGAAGGATGGGGCCAATCCAGATCTGTCTACCTCTGACTCAATGAGACCAAAAGCACACAAAACTGTGCTGGGAAAGAACATTGGATTAGACTCCAAAAACCTTAAGTAATTCATTTACTAAGAATCAGTTTTTACATCAGCAAAATGGGGATGAAACTCCCCACATTATAAGAGCACTGTTCAGAGGATTAGAGATAATAAATATTCAAAGTGCTTGAAGGAAATATGCCAGACTGCACACAAGGGACATCGCAGCAGGTAATTTTTAGTTTTAAATAAATAAGGGCAGGAAAAAAATTCAAAGTGCTTAGCACAGTGCTGGCAAGCTCTCAATAAACATTAGCTCAATTATTATAATGAATGAGAAAACCATCTATATGTCATTAAGCATCTCATAAATGTGAGTGATTGACCTTCACAATCCGAATGCTCTCCCAATTCAGCTGGAGACCAAAGAACACTTTTGAATTTGTGTGCAGATGGCAGCCTCCTTTGCAGGCTTGCCCTGCCCCATCCTCACCCCTGCCAGCCCGTCTCCCGTGTTCACCTGTCACTCCAGTCTCCTTTCCATTCCACTTTGCCCCAGGGGTTCCGCAGCTTGACTAGATATTCTGGTCCATGTTTGCAGGTCACCTGCACAAAACGAGAAGCAATTTAGGTGTCTGGGCTGAGTGCCAAATGCAAATGTTGCAGATATCTGGGTGAGATCCTTCCCTGCCAGATGAGACCTTGAAGTGGAAGACCAAAGGCCCTGAGCATGGGGAGAAGAGAAAGTGGCTTTGTCTTTTATGAGCTGCTGAGATCTAGAGCAAGTTCTTTACCTGTCTGGGTCTTTTTCCTCATCTGTAATGCAAGGCTTATAGCCACGTCTGCTATAATGCATTGAATGGTGGCCCCCCCAAAGATAGATCTACCCAAAATCTGTCAGTGTGATTTTATCTATTTATTTGTTTTTAAAGATTTATTCCAAAAAAAAAGATTTATTCCAGTGAGAGAGAGAGAGAGAGAGAGCACACAGTAGGGAGGGGCAGAGGGAGAGTAAGAGAGAAATACAAGCAGATTCCCTGCTGAGTGCAGAGCTCTTCTCGGGGCATGATTCCAGGACCTGGATCATGACCTGAGCTAAAACCAAGCATCAGACATTTAACTGACGGCACCATCCAGGCACCCCAGTGTAATCCTATTTATTAAAAGGGTCTTTGCAGACAAAATAAAATTAAGGAACTTGAGATGCAATCATCCTGGAGGAGCACCTGGGTGGCTCAGTTGGTTAAGCATCTGCCTTTAGCTCAGGTCATGATCTCAGGGTCCTGGAACTGAGCCTGGAGTCCAGCTTGCTTCTCAGCGAGGAGCCTGCTTCTCCCTCTCCCTCTGCTGCCCCCCCCCCACTTATGCTCTTTCTCTCATAAATAAATAAATAAATAAATAAATAAATAAATAAATAAATAAATAAATAAAATATTTAAAGAGAAGAAAAGAAATAACCCTGGATTACAGTGGGTTTTAAATCCAGTGACAAGAGATGGGAAAGGAAGAGGGGAAGACACAGAGGAAGAGGCCATGCAGAGATGGAGGAAGAAATTGGAGCTCTGCTTCCCAAGCTAAGGAATGCAGGGAGCCACCGTAAGCTGGAAGAGGCCAGGAAGGATCCCCTTTAGAGCCTGCAAAGTCTTGATTTCAGACTTCTGGCCCCCAGAACTGTGAAAGAATACATTTACATGGTCTCAAGTCCCCCAATTTGTAGTAATTTGTTATGGCAGCCCTAGGACGCTAATATACCCCCTGACAGGGCTGTTGTGAGGATTGGGTTAACAGTCGCGAAGCAGTTGGAACACTGCTTAGGACATCGTAAATGCTAAATTTTGCTATGTTAAATAAATATAAAACAAAATACAGACCTAAACATATCACTCTAAAGATTAATAAAATTGAAGGTTTGTTACGAAATAAGAGGATGGATGAAAAGTTCTTGGCACACACACAAACATGACCAGTGCAGATCCAGGAGGAAGAAGATGATAGGCGGGAGCTGAGTTCAAGAAATTTGAAAGAATAAAAGGGATTTGGAGGATGCGGGGACATCAAAGGCTCCTTAAGATGGAACCTGCAGATTTCTCACCCGAATGCTTTTCCTGCAGCCTCCTTCCCCAGAAGCACCCCTCTCCCTTAGATAAATCTCCTGACCTTTCCAGGGCCAGCTCAATGCCGCCTCCTCTACAAAGTCTTTCCTGACTTTCCCCAACCCAACCAGTCAAATGTCTTCTCTCCTACCTCCGAGCCCCTAAAGCCTTTCATGTACTCTTTCTTCCCTCCACTTTCTACTTTGCTTCCATACCATTTTTACGTATGGTTTGTCTCCATTCCTGACTGTGACCTCTGTGTAGGCAGGGTCCCTGTCTGACATCTTTCCCTCCATGCTTAGCGCAGCTCGGAAGGTGAATAGCCATGGAAGGAACCTGGGAGGCTGATGAAAAGGGGTGTGTGAGAAGAGAAAGAAGCGGGAATTGGGGCAGGAAGCCCCAGACATGCAGGTCATCAGTGGCAGCCCAGAGCAAAGGGGGTCTCTAGGAAGGGCTGTGAGGCCCAGCAGGGCTGGATGGCTGATTGGCAGGGCCGCCCTCAGGCAAGGGGGGCTGGGAGGGTGCCCTGCAGGTGCCCCTAGCTGGACCCCCCCCACACATATCTCCAGAACACAGGTGCACACATTCAGGGAACCCACCACCTGCTTTGGTGGTAAAACCAAAGATCGTAAAACCCTCCAAGAATGTGCCCCCTAGACTGGGAACAGATAATAATGCTCACTGAAGCCTAGGTGAGAAGCCTAGGGAGAGAGGGGGGAGCCCAAAGGGAAACAGAGAGGCTGGTTCCACCCACCTTTCTGATTCCTGTGAGGGTATAGGCATGGCCGCCCACCAGCCCGTTCTCCAGCACCCTCTCCTTCTGTGGAGACAAGAGAGCTCCTCTCAGCCTGCTGCTGCCTACGGCTTCTTTGGGGGTCATGGAGACCTGTGTGGCTGGAGCAAGAGCTTATGCAGAAGGCTGGGACAGACCCATGCTGTGTCCTCACAGTGGCCAAGGCTCTTCAGCACCCATAGTCTCGCTGGAGCCTCTACGTCAGGGGGCCATTCTGCAGTGACTCCTGTCCCATTGTACAGAGGACGGACTCAGAGCAGCTAAACCATCACACAGGGTGCCATGGTGGTCGCTCACAGAGGAAGCACTCAATCCAGGGCTCCCTACTCTATCTAGCTCCCGTGCTTGGTCGTTACTAAATCAGGCACTAAAGACCAGTTGTGCTAGTAAAGCACTTTGCACCTGATTGACGCTTAGTCACTGTTAGCACCTGTGTCCGCATACCATCTGCATTCTACTGCAGCTTCGCCTGCCCCGAGGGCTCAACTTGGCTGCTCTGGTTTGAACATGAGGACTCTAAAAGCAAGAGCTGGATCAGGGTCTTGGGGCTGGTGGGCGAAGGGGATAGAAGCAAGAGAGGACATGCTGCTAGTGCGTCCAGCCGCACCCCTGAGTGGGTCTGGCAGCCAATGAGGGTTCTGCTGCAGGTAGCTCGGGTTAGGATGTTCCAGAGGTTGCCAGAGGCTTCTGCTGGAATGATGGTCATGGTCACTCCTCCAGTGAAGTCCACAAGTGCTTCAGACACCTGTCCACGGTGCAAGTCTTCATAGGAGCCAGAGAGTCTGCCCAGGGAAGGAGTAAACATGGTAGTAGAAGGGAAGGGGAATTTATACTGTAGCCTGGAATGGTCCACATGAGTCTAGTGAACCACCTCCTTTGCTCTTCTCTGGGCATGTGCCTGCTACCCCTTCCTTCCATCCCAGGGGCAAAGGGGAAAATGTATACCCTGAGTTCTTATTCTTGTTAAAAACCTCCATCCATTAGGGGAAGGCAAAATTCCCGAACGCTTGTTCAGATGGGATAAATCCTACACAAGAGACTCTGGATACACCACTTCCATATTCACTGAGTCATGCCTCAGTGTCTCACATCACAAAATTTACCTATCTCCTCTTGCACTGTCCCAACCTTGATGAGAGGGAGACAGAAAGACAGAGGGAGGAGAAAGGGTGGGAAGGGAAGGGAAGGGAAGGGAGGGGAGGGGAAGGGAGAGGAGGGGAGGGAACAGAATGGAATGGAATGGAAAAGACAAAAAGATTTGTCTTACTTAGCATAGGCCTTTTCCAGAAGAGCTCCCCAGAACAAGTTCTTGTAGATAGAAGAGACAAAGACCAGCTGGCCAGCTGCATTCACAGGAAGTCGGTCATCTATCACCACAGGAACCCACTTCCCAAACTGCCAGAACTGGAAGGAGAAGGTACCCACTGGTGAGTGAAGATGGCCATGGAAGATGGTCAGCCCAGGAGGTAAAAACATCACTCTTCTAAGAACCCTCTTTCCTTTGGCTTCCTCCAGCCATGGGCACCAGGAGGTTACTCACCCAGAACCGGAAAATGCCAGCATACTTCTCAGTGAAATTCTGATTCAGGGGAACGACCTGGCTCAGGATGTCCTGGTGCAAAGTCAGAGCTTGCAAAGCAGCCAAGAACCAGCAGTCACCTAAGCCAGAGCGCACATAGTGTCTGCGTGGATGTACTTACTGCACATTCAGGCACATTCTACAAGTGTCTGCTGGGATCTATTGAAGGCTTATTATGCCTCGTCCCAATTGCTCCCCTCTCTGGGCTTGTAGCCTAGTTTAGCAGAAGGGAAAGATATACTGGGGGAAAAAGACAGTGAGTAAGCAGAAGGTGGGCAGGAGCGTTGGCTGGAATCTCAACTTGCCACCAAGAATTGAGCCACGTTCCTGAACCACCTTTTAGCTTCCTGAATGCCACATCCTCAGGAACAAACACAACCAAAATCTTCTAAAGTCCTGCCTCTGTAACTGGTTTATGTTCTTCTGGGAAAGCCTCAACACTTCTGGGCTCTATTCCCATGTCTGTGAAACAGGTATCACTACATTTGTGCCTTCCCTTGTGGCCAAGGGTTTTTCTATTCCCCTGAAAAGAAAGTTGGGGATGAGGATAGACTTGCTTGAACTCTACCTGGGCATCTAGTGAATTCTGTGCCAAAAAGGACTCATCGTGGGGACTAGAGCAGAATGAGCACATCCTCCCAAGACAACTTAGACCTGTAAACTGGTAATGAGAATTATCCCAGGGCAAGCTTTGGCATTCCCATGCATCCCCAGAAGACCAGTTGTTATTATTTTCCTGGCAAAAGACACAGCACTTCAAGGTGGAGCTCAGGGTGGCCATCTCTCCCACTGGGATCTCTCAATTCCCCCCTTTCCAACCCCACTCTGCCTTGGCTGGGCCTGGCTTGAAGCTGCCAGGCCTGTGTCTCCAAGGGCTGTACAGACTTACCTACCACTCCCTGGCACAGGTCCAGCCTTTTGGCATTAGGAGAATAGAACTGGGGATTGCTGTGCAGCTCCTGTGGGGATAGATAGAACTGTCCTTCTAACCAAGAAGAAGCTCCTTGAGCTACAGTGACCAAGGTTTCCCATACCCCAAGACCACACTTATGGGGACATAGATTTAGAATATATGTGAAATTGGGGCTATCCCAGAGAGTCTGGCGTACAGATTCAGCCTGTCTCATTTCCCATTGCTTCTGGCAGCCCATGTCAGCCAGAGTCCTGGAGGACTCTGTGTGGATACTGAGGTATAACACTTGTGTCCAAAATGCCTCTACTTAGAGTTTCTGTTAAAATGGAAGTATGCCTCTTAGGGGATGTTTACATTTTTCCTAGAGATCTTCCCACTCTCCTTATTCTACTCCTACATCTCCCTCCCATCCCGCCCCCCAACATAATGGCATCTTTGCATTTCTGTTTCCATGCTGAGATGTGGGTGAGGCAGCCATGGGAGGTAAAGCAGATAGTCCCTGCTCTGCCCCCTGCATTAAGACCCTCAGGTTCTGCACTGGCACAGCTCACCCAAGGTCAGGTGTGTGATAGACTCTGTGTCAGCGGTTCCCAAATTTTCTGGGAAAAGAAGGATCTTGGAGGCTCTCTAGTTTAGGAGGCCCACTCAGGAATTTTGCACACATAAGGGACTTAGTCTGGGACCGTACACTTTGGTGAGAAGGTTGAACAGAGCCCAGAAGGGCAGGGAATCTGCAGCCCAGGCTGAGGACTCCACTTCATTCCCTAGCCATGTTTGGGAAATCTATTGTGTAAATCAAGTTGGGCGGGGGCTGGATTGCCTTTGAACACATTAAGTTGTCTTTTAAAGAAACTGTCAAAGCACTTTAGAAAGTGAATAACGTTGTTGTAAGGTGATTAATAACTTCTTAATTTATGTGTTCCGTGGGCCTGATTTGGGATTGGGAGTGAAGATATGTGAGAATGTGCCTCTCTGGCCGGTAACATCAATGGCAGCTCAGGACGCCCTGCCATCTTGAATGAGGCCCAACAGTACTTCAGCTGCAGCTGCCCCCGCTCCCCCCGCCCTATTTCTGGGTAGAGGCTGAGGGAGAGCCACATCTCAGCCCCCTCTCAGCGCCACCCCTGGTTTTATCCATCTTGAAAATGGGAATGTGGGCACTCGCCCATTCCCCTCATGTGGGGACCAACGTCAGTAAGACATGGCATTTGGAACACCATCTCAAGGAAAGTCTGGGTTGACCTGTGTGTGTGTGTGTGTGCGAGTGTGTTGTAGGGAAGCACCCTCTTCCCTTACCGGAGGCCTCTTCCACTGCAGGCCTGGTGGCAGCTTCCGCAATAGAGGCCCACTGCCCACAGAGTGCAGGCTGGCTGGGAAGCTGTCATCTTCAAAGAGGCGGCCTTCCATCAGGCACACTTCCCTCAGGGCATCGTAGTCCTGCTTGGGGAGCTGTGAGGAGCCCCCCAATGAGTTCTTCTGCCCCAGCTTCCATCTGGCTCGGAAAGGTAGCCACAGAGACATGGCCGAGTGTAGATACAGACCCCAGGGGTCTTCCTGGATGGTCTCTGTTGCCTGGAATGGAGAGCCCACATTCAGTTTACTCACTGCCTGTTGACAGCATGCCATTCCCCCAGAGAGGAGGAGGAGGAGGAGGGGGATAGAGAGGTGAGGCAGACTGCAGCACCTGGTCCGATTCTCATCCTAGGGAGTGAAGGTCTTGTTCCGGTGGGGGCTCTGGGCTCCCCCAGCCCAGACCTGAGGAAAAGGAGGGATCTCTCCAGGCTCAGGGCTGGGACCTGGGGCCCTGACTCTGCCAATGTCACAGGGACATTGCTGCTTGGGGGTGGGGCAGGGAGGAGAGCAACAGGAAGTTGAAGCTCAGGTCATAGGGCTTGAGGGTCCCTGTGTCAGACAAGGAAGGAGCCTCAGCTGCCCCTTCTATCCTGCCTGGCAGGGCCCACCTGCTGTCACCCCCAAGCTCATACATGTCCTTCATCCTGCTCTAATGTCCTCCTCTGTCTTCCTTGCAAAACCATGTCTCTTGCTTTCCTCCTTCTACATATTCTTCAAATTAACTCCTACCTTAAAGACATTTTTGGCAATGTAAAAAAAAAATCACATACATATTATGGTGAATACTGACAGTTGCCTGGACCTACCCATTCTTTCCTTTGCCTTATTAATAGGATTCTAGTTTTAAACACTTGATTTCCCAGAGCAGGACAGGTTGGCCACCAATATACAGCAGGCCAGTGAGATGAATGTGGCAGTTTCCCAGGTGGGGCTCTTAGAAAAGCTGTGACTTTCTCAAATTTCCTAGTTGGTACTACTTTTGACTTCCTCCCATTCCCATTCCTGGAAAGTAGAAGTAACACCTCGAGAGGGACCACTAGGAAAAAGCCACATACTAGAAGGAGTCTGGATCTTTATGACTTCCTTGAACAAATGGTCCAGCCTTGGTGGCCTGCCTCTAGACTTATTACATGAGAAGGATAAACCATCTGCTTACTTAAGCTTTGGTAATGACCAGACTCTGCAGTGCTCTCCATGTTAGCCAGTGTTATGTGTTTCTGTTGCATGCAATCATAGCATTCTCAAGTGATACTCAATAGCCTGTAAAATTTTACATACACTTGTGAGAGATCAATGGATCCTTCTTTGAAGCTTGTCAACAAGCTTCACATTAAGAGCTCTGCCAGCCAAGTGGACTCCACCAAACCCAAAATTTTAGCATATTTTTATATCTCCTACATCTGTTTTTGTGCAGTAGTGAGTCATCATATCCAGTGTTTCCCCAAAATTATTTTAGCTGTGGAGTTCCTTCTTCAAGTGAAATCCTACAGAAAACCAAGTGTACAGGCTTAAATTTGCAGGTTGGACCACAGTGCATCTTTGCAAGTTTTCTCATTTTATGGTTTGAAAACCTCCAATCTTATCTATCCTCTCTCATTGTTTAAGTGTTAAAACCAAAACCCATTCATCCATTGACTCACCAAAAATTTTATTGGGAATTGGTCATTGGCCAGGCTTGAGCTAAGCACCATTCATCAGAGACAGTACCAACCCTCATGGCTTTTCTAGCTTCATGGGGATCAAGTGATTTTCCCAGTGCTACACAGGGAAATTTCATCAGAGCCCTCTCCTGAACCCAGGGCTCTCACTCTCATAACAGTGCTTGGCACTCAATGCCAACAGCCTCCATTTGCGCCGGTACAGTAATTGGGACGGAAAGTATATGCACTAAAAGCAGCCTACAGACAAGTCTATGCCAAGTATGAGTACTCCCTCCATCTGTAGAAGTGATCTGAGGGGCCTCTTCACTTGTCAAGATCTTGTCTATCCTCCAAAGTCCAACTTTATCTCCTCCACCAAGATCTCCCTTGTGTATCTGGTCTTCACAGAGTTCCCCTTATCCAGACTGTCACTGTCTACCACATAGGACACCTTACTGCCTCCTAACTGGTGCTCCTCAAGTTATCACTAGTGAAACACCTATATTTTTTATTTTCAGCTTGTCATAGATTTTAATGAAAATAAATCAATACAAAAATGAAATTTTAAAAAGATATATAAAATATAAGCCCTCCTTTAAAAAATTTTTTTCCGATTCAACAGAAATAAAATTATTTGATCAATTACTATAAACATTTCTAAACACTTACCCTTAGTTTTATACTTAGCCCATCATGTACTGCTAGTGATCAGTTCATGAAATGGTCTTGTTCTTGGATCCCGTTGTGGGCTTTGCTCTGACTGATTCACACACAGAAACCTCCTCTGCCTAATACCTGTTTTTATCCCCCACAGGATTAACACTGATGGAATGCTGTTTGCCTCACACCCTTACCTCTCTCGGAGGTTAGGGCAGTCCAATTTCTGGCTGTTCTTATTTGTCACAAATGCATGCATACTTCCTGGGGGAAGACCTGGCACCCTCTTAATCTGGGTTACAGGAATCCAAATGCTGTTACTGGGGCTTTGTGTTTTCCCCTGAGTCTCTTCCTGATATGGACTATCACAAACACAAGGCCACAAAGAGGCTAAGTCCTACTTTTTTGTCCCTTCAAACCTGAACAGCAATCCTTCACAGCTTGTGCTGTGATAAGTAACAGTAGGTCCTTTGGCTTCAGAACCAGACCCAGGCCCTCCCATGCCCTCCCTCCCAAGGGCTGGGTCACACTCAGATTGCTCTCCATGCCTGAAAACATTGCATCTCATGACAAGTCTTGGTGCCTTGTTGGGGTTCAGAGGACAAAATGCCCATCACAATATGCTTTCACCCTCCAAATTTCAGAATGAGGCCAAACACATAAATATCTTGTCTTTAAACAATATTCCTAAGGCCCCTTAAGGGGAATCTAGACCCAGATGTGGGGAGTTGGCAGTTCTTATGTGTCTTCTATAAGTTACAACCTGTGGCTGAAGTTGGCTCATTTTCAGATTGCTGCAGCACTCTGCAAAGGGCCAGGGGCATCTTGGTTGTAGTTGGAAATTAATTTTAACTATTATAAGTAAATGGTGTTGGAGCAGACCCATAATATCAGACCATGCAGATGAAGAGGGAAAAGCTGACTGAGGCACATGGTATTCGAGGTGCAGCCTAAAGGCACACTGCCCATGCCTGAGCATCTATTTACTCAGCAAATAGAACCTCCATTTCCCTTTCCTACATTGGCTCTGCTTGCCTTCTCTATAGACATTAGATGCAAGGTGGAGCTCTATGATGGTGAGGGGTGTCCCTGGTGCTCATAATCCAGATGAAGCCTTTTGGTTCTAAATTGCTGATGAACACTGAGGGACATTACCAAGTAAGACACCTGAGTGTTCCATGCCTTGAGTCCCTGCCCTGATACTCGGTTATTTCACATGTGTCCTAAGCACTTACTATGTGTCAGACACTGTACCTATACTAAACACACACACATAAAGGTAGTTTTGGGGATCTGGAAAGGAAACAAAACAAATAAGAACCACCATTCTCATTCACAGGTGCTACGGACCTGTGGAATCCTCCTAGGGGATGATTAATTTGCAGAGAACTCTGGCATCCTGCCACTCCCACCAAGCTGTCAGAGGTAAAATTGGAAAAGAAACCTAGGCTTCTTGCACAATGGTCGGTCTGCATGATAAAAAGCATTGGATGGGAAACATGATCAATTCCAGGCTTTCGACAGCTGGAACAAAGGAACAAGACTAACTGTCGGCTCTACCTGATTTATCTTGGGCAGGGATTGTATTTCTTTTGTGTCATAGACTGTGGTCATGGAGCACTAGATTCGAAATTAGAAAACCCGGGAGGCATCTGGGTTTGCCCCCTCTTACTTGTGTGACCATGGGCAGACCCCTTACCCTCTCTGAGTTGGCTTCCTTACCTGTAAAATGGAGCCAACACATACATACACAGTATACTGTGTATACTCTTAGGACTCAAAATAGATGATATAAAGTAGTTTGAAAAAACTTTAGTCTAAAGCAGGAATTGGCAAACCATGGCCCATGGGCCAAATCTGGCCACTGGTGGTTTTGGTAAATAAAGTTCATTGAAACATAGCCACACTACCTGTTTATGTACTGTCTATGGCTATCTCCACAATATACATTACAACAGCAGAGTCAGGTAGTTGCAACAGACATCATACAGTCAAAAATCCTGAAATATTTACTGGCTGGCCCTTTACAGACAAAGTAGTTTAAATCACAGTCTAACTCACATAAACTGATATTGCACAATGCTAGACATGGTGGTAGGCTCCAAATAGGAATTCATAGAATAAAATGTGATTAACTGGGTCCATCATTAAGAACTTATGTTAATGCAACAGAGTTTTATCTCTAATTGATTCACTAATTTTTTATAGACTCAACACTTACATTTATGTCTCAAAAAGACTTAAAGATGTAGCCTACCATTTCTTTTTGCTAAAGTCTCATCTCTAACTCATTTTTAGATGTGATGACATCAGACATTCCTGGGAAGTTCTCAGGTGGTTTTGTGGGTACTGATTAGGAATAGGAAAACCCACATCTCTATGTACAGATCACGACCTGTCTGTAAAAGAGGAAATTGTTCTGCTATGTAGGGGAGCAAAATTTGCCACCCCAAGGAGTGTCTCTTTGGCATGTGGATTACTTTAGGCTATTTATTTTTAAGAAACAGAAGATTCAAGAAATTTGTCTTTTTTGGCTCTCTCCTAACTGCCAAAGAGAATTTAGATAGAGGACTTATTTCAGAAAAGGGATCATTACTATAAATAACCACAGGACAATATGAACTATATGTGGTAGAGAGGATGGGACCTAGAAAATTCTGTTGGTTAAAATTCCTCTCTATCTACCATGGTTGCTTAAGCCCAGCAAACATTGTTTTGCTCTTTTACTCTTTTTCATCTTTGGACAGATTGTCTTCCTTTCCTTTCAAGCCCTAGATCTTTGCATCCTTTTCATTAGTTCTGGATGGCATATAAATATGCTTCAATTGCTGACTACCTGTGGACCTCATATTTTATGGAGCCCTCTTGCTT